CCTACGTACAGCCGCAATTTGCACCACCAACTACATCTGCACCGGTGTTTCCACAGGTGCAGCCGCCGTCTACAGCATGTGCCATTTTTCTACGCCTTCACCCGTCATCATCAAGCTACATTTCCAATTCAAATCTCTGGATAGCCACACTCACTTCGCACTCGGTACAGGAACTCCGACAAGTGGCTGTGGCTAAATTCCCGGGAACGGCATGCCTCCGCGTGGAAGGCGTGCTAAAAGATGGCAAGGGCTGTGAATTACCACTTCAGATCGAACAAGATCAAGAATTAAGCGCGTACTTGACGCACTTACAAGGCACTGCGCCAACGTTCAACGTGCAGCTGGTGTGGGAGACATCTTGAAAATGGGTACTCGAGAAGACAACCAACCTCGGCTGATGATTGTGCTATCTAATCTTGGCGATTTTCTTTGGCGTATACCGGTTGACGATTCAAGTTTGTCTACTTTAGAATGGTGTTTTCGGAGTCCTGTCTGCAACTGCTACGGACATGGCTATTAATTTGATTGGACGTATTTATATGTGTAACGAATTGAAACGACAGAATTGAGCATCTACCTCCCTGGCTTCGACATGGCTTTGATTTTGTATGGAATTCAGTAGATGACGGAGCCTTTCACAATCTCGAGAAGGCTCAAGGTCAAAGAACGAGTATCGAGTGAAAAGAGAGGAGCTAAGGATTTTCGGTCAATCGCGTGCAGACATTGGACAGGGCGGTCCTCGGCTTGCCCGCTTACTACTCCCATGTGCTCATATACATGTACGTACATTGATGCATGTGTACGCAGTTTAGACCGCCAGGCCAGAGCTTGCGAGAGATGGTCCCAAAGCTCCTTGGGCTTGCCTACCACTGCATCTCGTCGCGGATATAACAGGAGTGAGTGCAGTGATGGCCAAGGGGATTATGCCGTCTAAAGCGGCGACAACTGCTAGCCAATTGTAGCGTTAAATCTCCCGACGGCCTACCAGACACTTGTGGTGTAAATTTTGATGCTCTGGCTGTACACCCCATTCGGCAATGTTGACCCCATGACAGAGTGTGACTGCAGGCATTCCATGTTTCGGCGGTGCGGATGGAACGTCAAAATTGTGTGTGGAAAATTGGACATCTGAAGTGTGGGGAGCGCCGCTAGCGGCCGGACAAATTTCCGGTGAGCTCCAAAGCTTCAGAGGTCGACGTCCGTTGAAATATAACTCTCAGCCACAAAGCGCTCAAAAACACCCGTGTTCCTTAGACGACAACTGTGGTTGTAGACGGAGGTCGCAGCTAGTTTCGTGGGTGTCTTGCGCATTGCGACGACAGCGGTGCTGGAGACATTCCTCAATGGCGCAACTACGACTTAGGGCGATGCCCGCCGCGACGACCCTGCGAAGCTACACCTTTGATCGGCTGTTAGCGGTTCACATCCCACGAGGGCTCGCGCCGCATGCTGTCAGACGATGCTATTCAACAGACATTGAACCGGAAAAGCCTAGGCCTCCGAGACAGGGGAATGAGATGAAGCTGGGAAGGTCGTTCCAGGGCCAGGTGATGGGAAGCATTGGAGCGCGATTGAGACGAGAGCGAGAGCAGAGAGAGCAGTATGAACGATGGAGAAACATGACAGATCCCTCAAGGAATTGGATGATCACCTTCTGTGAGTGGTGGCGGGATAAGTTGGATCGCGACGACGAGCCTCTGGTCGTTGGCATGCGGGCAGATAGAACTAACCATGTCCAGTGTTCCTTTCTAGTATAAGCATCGCATACTACATGGGCACATTCTGGCCTCGCGAAGCCGAACCCACCTCGACACTCCCGCTTTCCAAGGTTCAAGACCCCAAGCATAATACGAAGCTCGAAAACATGCAGGCTGCCTGGGCAGATTTTGTCAAGATTGTTGGCAAGGAGCATGTCAGTACTCTCGAGACGGATATCGAGCACCACGCCTCCTCCGCATGGTCTACCCACCACCCAAAGCCGGACGAGAAACCCTTTTGTGTGGTGTATCCTGGCAGCACCGAGGAAGTTTCAGAGATAATGAAGGTCTGCCACCAGCGACGCATTCCGGTTGTTGGCTACAGTGGCGGCACGAGCTTGGAGGGCCACTACACACAGACAAGAAGAGGCATCTCCATCAACTTTGGCAGAATGAACAAGGTGCTTGCACTCCATAGGGATGACTTGGATGTGGTTGTTCAACCAGCCGTGGGGTGGGAGTCACTGAATGACGATCTCGCTAAGGATAACCTTTTCTTTCCGCCTGATCCGGGCCCAGGTGCCATGATTGGCGGCATGGTTGGAACTGGGTGCAGCGGTACAAATGCTTACAGATATGGCACGATGCGCGAGTGGGTGCTCAGTCTGACTGTCGTCATGGCTGATGGCACCATCATCAAGACTAGACAACGGCCGCGAAAGAGCTCCGCTGGCTACGACCTTACCAAGTTGTTCATCGGATCTGAGGGCACTCTCGGTCTTGTCACCGAAGCTACGCTCAAGGTCGCCGTGAAGCCGGCGTCTACCAACGTGGCTGTCTGCACTTTCCCATCCATCCACGACGCTGCTACCTGTGTCAGCAAGGTTGTTGGCGCGGGTGTTCCGATCGCTGCTGTTGAGATCCTGGACGACAACCAGATGAAGTTTATCAACTCGGCGGGTATGACGTCGCGCTCGTGGACTGAGGCTCCCACGCTGTTCTTCAAATTTTCAGGCACTCCGGCTGGCGTGAAGGAGCAAATTTATCAGGTTCAGGGCTTGGCTAGACAGGCTGGCAGCAAGACATTCGAGTTTGCCAGAAGCCAAGAGGAGCAGGATGAGCTGTGGAGTGCCCGAAAGGAAGCCCTCTGGAGCACCATGTCTGCGATGAAGGAAGGTGACAGAGTCTGGACTGGGGATGTTGCCGTGCCCATGAGCCGGCTGCCTCAGCTGATTGAGGAGACAAAGGAGAATATGCGTAAGAGTGGTCTAACGGCCTCGATTGTCGGACACGTCGGCGATGGAAATTTCCACAGTGAGTGCGCGCCTGGCTGGAATATTTTGCGAGTTGCAGTGCTGACTGAGACCCCAAGCAATCCTGACGTACAGCGAGCCTCAGCGAAGCAAGGCCGAGGCAGTTGTGCACAAGATGGTCAAGCGTGCCATTGAGATGGAAGGGACGGTTACTGTGAGTCCAAAAGCATGTGGTATTGCCATTGACAGTGACGCTAATGGAATCTTTTTTGTTTTTCGTTAGGGTGAACATGGCGTCGGGTTGGTTAAGAGAGATTACCTCCCACATGAGCTTGGCGAATCGACAGTCGATGCTATGAGACAGGCACGTACACATAGTGCGGTTTGCATGCGGTATATTTGCTAACTTTGCGTATATAGATCAAGAAGGCGTTTGACCCCCTGTGCTTGCTGAACTGCGACAAGATTGTTCGCATGCAGAGGCCCAAGAAGGGAGAGGTTGAGGAGTGGTGAAAGAGGCACATGGTTGCCCTTTGTAAAATAAGTCTAAGCCGTGTTTCCTTGAAAATTTGGGCGAGGGGTGCTAGTGCTCTTGTAGCATTCATCGACTCGACCTGAAGTGTTTGTAGCGTTGTTGAGTTGTTGAGTGGGCATTCTTGCAATAATATCCACGTTTATGAGGGACATAGGCCTGCTGCTTAGTCATCTCTGGGGAGGTGCCGACGTTGGGTGTGCAGGGTGGGTAGTTAACTATCCAACTGCCAGCACTCGCGAACCTGGGTGCCCCGCGTCATGCTTAGCTGCCCCTCCACTCCATCACATGGCACCTTCAGACCATTCAGGTTCCTGCAACACCAGTGCTCCAGCTCCGGCTCGTGACGTGGACCCGCGACTTGCTGATGCCCTGACCTTCGTACCTCGTCTCTCCGTAAACTCATCGACTTCAGTCTGTTTCCACCATCGCCTTTGCCTCATCTCAAAATCAACGCTGGGACTGGAGTTGCTCTGCGACGTTCCCTTTGCTGTCTGTCCTCCTTCCACCTTCAACCCGATACCAATCCAATCTTGCTCCTGCTGCTCGCGTAAGCTTCCTCCACGCCCCAAGGAGGCTTACTTCCTTCTCAAACACACGGGATGTCGCTTTTTACGGCGCAGCTTTATCCAGGCCGGGCGCTAGGCTTTCTGAGTATGTATCCGTAAACAGCAAGCAATTGCAGTTTGCCCGGTCACTAATACGACGTGTCCGTGCAATGTAGTCCTCGGCGCATCGCTACATGATGTCCTGACACGCCTCAAAGCTGAGCCACAGCGTTTTCCGAAACTAGAAGTCCTTCACTCACCAGATAGGCCCGTCACTGAACCTGTGTGCATTGTCCTTCCGCAGAATGGAATCCGGCTACGCTTCGATGGCCCCGAACAGCGCCTGCGACTGATTGAGGTGGTGGACTTTACAAGAATTCACATCACATTCAAGGACAGGGATTTGTTGAAGCATACGACGAATGGAACTTCGGCTCCCGGCTCGCCCATCCCAGGGGAGTCACCGCTAGGGCCGACCTTTAGGCACATTTACCATCGGCTGCTGGGCCCGACCTATGCCGGCGAGTTTATCCCCCCATCTAGCGGGCAGGAAGACGGCACTTATGTCCTGTCGTATCCAGGAGTGGCTTTTAATTTTTCGCTGGCGAAATCGGCCTACTCACCGGATAAGGATGTAGTCACGCTGTTGTCCGCTTCGTCGAGCCAGGTTGCTACTTCGATGGCGGTATTCAGTGGGACATCGTGGGCTGAAGCGCGACAGACACTGTGGACAGAGATACTGCCTAGTGTTAAACAAACTTCTGTACTGCCAAAGACAAAAGACGTGTATCCGGACGAGGTGTCGCTGATTCGGATACATGGTGGTGGAAAATTGGATTTGTTTCGGAAGTGGACCAACAATGCCTTTCGGATTCAGCTAGGGGAAACGACACCTCAGGAGCTGGTGATGGAACTGGGTCCGCCGAATGCGATTTATCGGAAGAATGATCAAAAGATGGTGATTCACAAGATGCGAGCGGCGAGCAGCTCCCGTGGTCGGCCAAGTTCATCTGATATCAGCCGCCCTGATGATCTCACCGATACAGACCAATCATCCATGAATACCGGTTCGGACGACTCAGATAACGACGAAGCCATCGACGAACACACAGCAGGCAATCCTTTGGAAGAGTGTTTCTACAACTACTTCTATCTTGGCTTTGACATCCTCCTCTCCCTACCAACCCAACCATCAGCTGTACCCCCCGGAGACGACACCAACGAAGACCCAGCAGAAAACCCAACCAAACATCATCACCCTGACCGTCTTGTCGCGACCAAAGTTGTCCTCCACGGCAACGTGCCTGGATCCTACGAATTCAACCGCCATCGTCGCTGCCGCTGGGAAATAGCGTACCTTGACGATTTTACGTCCGAAACAGAGTTCAAATACGTCGAAGAGGGCATGAACTCTAAATGGAAGGGTGCATACTCGCCAGGGAAAGTGCCACAAAGACAGAGGGGAATGGTGCTGAATCGTGGATGGGGCGATAGCCCGGGGAGCAGCTGCGAGTTTTTGGGAGGTTGGGAAGAGAGTGGTGCGAAGAGGGCTGAAGCAAACGGGGATTCGACGACGACGTTATATGGGTTTCCGGGAATGGTATTCGAGGTGTTGAGGAACGATTATGTTAATACCGTGACGATATTTTAATGTAGTATATAGATCATTTGGGACGCTTAGGTCGTGTGGAGACGTGGACTGCTGCTTTCCCATGTCAACTGAGGCATTCAACTATACTCACCACTTGGGTCACACTGGTCGGAGGAACAGTCTTCCTGACGTTTAGCCTATCCAGAGCCTCAGCCAGGCGGACGGACGCTGGCACACTTGCAGCTATCAACAAGCTGGAGCGTGCTGGAACCAGAATCAAGAATACAAGATCTGAATGTGGCCATCATCAGCCGTTCACGATGAGGGGTGCATTCATTCGAGTAACAAGGGGGCGGCAAGCATCCTGACCGCAGTGTCCGACCTTGGCGATTCGTAGAGGGTTCGTTACAAAGACCGTTGGCCAATACATGTCCTAGTATACACATGATCCAGTTTATTTCATGTTCGTCTCTGATGTCCTCGTATACTTGGTTAAGCCTCTTTTTCAGACGGTCGCTCACTCTCCAGGGACTTTTCCCCGGCAAGCATACCCGGGATCTGCGATTCCTGTCGGGCTTGTAGACGCATATCTACGTGCCCTACTAGTACGTGCGACGTGTTGTTGTTTCGTAATAGGAGAGGTGTTTCTGAAGCCAGTCCGGTTGCCTCGTCATATAGTGTCAAAGCGAGGTTGTACAACAGCTTGCAACCCTGCGTCACGGTATCTTACGTTTTATCTTGTTTGAGCCCCGACTTTAAAAGAGCGCTCTGGACGTTCGAGTCCGACTCTCCATAATGCGAGGCATTCATTACGTTGGCGTAAAAGGGAAAGGAATATGAGCAACTGCTATATCTTTCGTGCCAAGGTGTTGGATAGCGCCAAGATGGTTGGTTATATTGTGTGTCGTCTTCGCTACCGCTTTTCACGGCCGTTGCAGCCGCCGGCACACTCCTCTTGATGACCCAACAACAGGAATGGCTAGAAACTCGGCTATCGGGGCATTTGTCGCCGTTTTTTGGTATTCAGGTGGCCATCTACTCCGTCTAGAGCATGTTCATATAACCCTTTTTCTTGTCGCCGCATGTCACTTGCCCAAGCCCCCTGGTGGCGATTATCTCTTTGGGCACACGAGGCAGATGGTAAAAGAAGGCCTGGGAACAACCACCAGAAAATGGTGAATACGCCATTTCCCCATCCCATCGAATTTTCTTGATGAGCCCGCGGCCATGTCATCTAACCTGTGCAGGATCGCGTGGATCGCCAGCGACGGCCTCATCCACATTTCGCTGAGCATTCAACCGCGAAGTGCTCCTCATCACGTCGCCGCAGGCGCTGTCCGAAATACTCGTCGCCAAAAGCTACGAATTTGCCAAATCCCACTTCCTCCGCGACACTCTGGGCCCCGTCATCGGGCACGCCCTGGTTCTCGCGGAGGGGGGACGCGCACAAGCTCCAGCGCGGCAACTTGATGCCCGCGTTTGCGTTGCGCCACCTCAAGGACCTATACCCGCTCTTCTGGCAAATGTCGCGAGAGGTCGTACGGGTCATGACGGCAGAGTGCGATGGCCTGAGCGTCGAGGTGTACGCTGGACGTCATTGGAACCGCCGGGCTGGGGAGGGACTTTGACGCCATTCACGACGACCACAACGAGTTGGTGGAGACATATATGACGCTCTCGCATCCTTCCAAGACGGATAGGATCCTCGTGATCTTAGCGGACTTTGCGAGCTTGTTTGTATCTGTGAAGCCGTTTTTGAACGTGCCGTTTCCGAAGCGGCGGCAGGTCCAGCGGTCATCCAACATGATCCGAAATGTTCCCCGGAATGTCATCCAGGTCAAGAAGCAGAAGCTCGAAAGGGAACAGCTCGACGACGTGGATATCGTTTCCGTAGCTTTGAGGAGCGGTGTGTTTTCGGAGGACGAGGTCATCGACCAGATGATGACGTTCCCGGGCGCTGGGCATGAAAATGACCGGGTCGGTGCTGACGTGGGCGATTTACGCCATGTGTCGGTTTCCCGACATCCAGAGCCGTCTCCGTGACGAGGTCCGCGACAACTTGCCGTCTGTCGATGAAGAGACGGACAATGCCAGCGCGGACATTGACAAACTGCCCTATCTCAACGCCGTGCAACGAAGTGCTGCGAATGTACAGCTCCGTTCCGCAAACCTTGCGCGACGCCGTCTGCGATACCAGCGTGCTGAATCGCCGCATCTACAAGGGCACGCGGCTCATCCTCGCGGCGTGGTGTACCAATGTCGATAGTACCACGCTCTGGGGCGCCGACGCTGGTGAATTCAACCCGGAACGGTGGTTGCCTGTAAACGACGGGGGCGAGCAGTAATTATTCCCTGTTGACATTCTTGCACGGGCCGAGGAGCTGATGGTGAATTTGCTTTCCCGCGGTATGTATCTGAGCTTGACTCGATGCTGTCTGTAGCTCATTAGGGTAGGTTCCAACTACCTACCTAGGTAGTACTGATTAATGAACACGCACCTATTATCCCCCGAGAGAGAGGACAAGAAAAAGGGGAGCAGGAGCTTCCGTGGCCACGCCGCCAAGGAGATGAATGCATGAACTCGTGGTTCGATGAAAGTCTGGTTGGCGGTCGGCATTGCGTGTTGCCCAGTGGCTTTTATTAAAGGCTTCGCCTTTTCCCTTTTGTCAGCCCACTTCCCGTCGGCCCAAGATGCCAAGACGCATCGACTCCAGCTTGGGAGCGCCGGGACGCAAAGACTCGGTGTCAATCGCCCAATCAGTCTCACACGCCTCCCCTTGGCCCTTTTGAGGCTCTGGTGACGTATGTATTGTACGTAGTTATCACATACGCCTCTCCACAGAGTCCAACATGGGCTCAACACCCACCGTTCTCCCCCAAGGAGATCAGATCGAATCTTGCATACAGCCTCAATACAGCCAAGGGGATCCAAGGCAGTTGGGCAGGAAGACCAACACCTGTTGCCATGTAAGAGTCTGTGTCATTTTTTTTGCCAGATTCGGTCCAGTGCATAATAGCTTTGTGGCGTCGGAACATCCCACATGGCAAATGGGCCCAAGTCGCCCGTTGATCGGATCAAGAAATTCTTCAAGGCGACGATCCCTTGGTGGCGGGGACTCGAGAGTCCGAATGCCGAAGCTCGCGTTACTCCGAGCAATAACCGATAGCAAAAGAAAACAAGATTCTAAATGTGCGCGACAGCTGCTGCAAAGCTCGTAAGCGCTTGTGTAGAGCAGCACGTTTTGGATAGACAGAAATGAATCCATTTCCATCGATGGGTTCGCGACGCGGAGAGTCGTACTGAGTATTTCCTTCCGACTTGGGGGTTGGTTGGTAAGGACTGTGGATTGGAGCTTCGGAGAGGGGGTTGTATGTAGAAATGAGCACGGAGAATTATACTAGATGTAGAACGGTGGTATGCTTATTCATCTGGTAGGGCTGGAGAGGATGGTTTGCTGGGTGTATGATTTGTGACGCTGTCAACAACACCCTGCACAACTATTATGTTGAGGAATCTATCTGCCTCTGTACATAGATGGATATACAATATTGTAACATCAGACACGTTAGTGCCCTGACTGTGACGCAGGCTGCTTAGTTGCATACTGCTACCAAATTGTATGTAAGCTGCCGAGTTGCACACCGCCCCGTGTAATTACATACCAAGCAAGTAGCTTTTGTAGATGAAACTGTTGAACAGGCAGGTTGGCGACATCAAGTTCAAGACAGGCGGGCAGGAATTCCACTTCTGAGGGTGCTTGTCATCTCTCCCTTAATCTTAATTACTCAAGTACCTAGTAGCACGTAATTTATGTGCTGTGCAACTAACTTAGGTACCTAAGTAGGTAGGTAGTAAGTACTCTGCCGGCTGATGACGGGTCTTGCGCGCCACCACAGCGCCAGGGCTGAGCTTGACTACTTTACGGAGTATAGCCCCGCCTTAACCCCGTGCCATTGTATTTCTGGTCTCACTGCCGTTGCGCGGTGCAGCCAACGCTTACTAATGGCACACTGACCTGTTCCACTGACTGGCCGCGACAAATTGGGTGGATCCGGTCTGGTGGAAAACGAGCCCCCCGCCCGCCCCCATGACGCCTCCATGCCAGAAGCACCCGAGCACGCGGGTTGCAACCCGCGTGCCGAGCAGCCAAGTTGGCAAGCGACTCGACCGGATCGAAGGCCTGTGCGCCCGCCCGTTCAACGGGCATGAGCTGGAGTGCTCGCCGCTAGTCATGGTTTGGGCAAGCATTTACGTGTACCGATTGATGCAATGCTCGTACATCCGAGACGGCACGGCTATTTCTGCCATCCCGGAGCACCTACAAGTATAAAACCAAACGCCTCAGACATCCTCATTATTTATTCCATGACGTCGTGGTCGTGTTGGTCCCGTGTCTATTCCGTTTTCATCCCGTCACTGATCCCACGCAGACGCTACCTGGGTACGTACATAATCGGCTTGGCGCCTTCACCGGTCTGTTCCCGCTAGTCTACCGCCTAGTCATCCCAGTTGCCATTTGCCCTTTTCCAAGATTTCATGCCTTTTGCCCATACGCCTCAGCTCCCGGACTTGTATTTTACGATTGCTGACTCGCGGTCGGTGAATAGAGGTGCTGATCTGGTATCTTGCTGCCACCTTGTTTTAGTTTCAGTTTGCAACCCCGTCGACCTTCACCCCACGACGCAACGTAAAAGGTGAGGGTGAGACTCAAAAAAGGTTCCAAGCCGCCACTCAGCGCAGCCAATTCAGCCCCTTCAAGACACCACGAGCTGAAAAGGGGAGTTGAAAATCACATCGCCCGGCATGGCGTCTCATCCATCGACGCCAACCACGACAGACACGTGGACCGGTTCTGGGAAGACGGGCGATGTCGAGCGGGACGGCGACATCCGTGACTCCAAAACTAATCGCTTCAGTGAGAAGCACTCACAGTCCGCTCACACGCCATCCGAACCCCCGAGTCCAACTTCAGACACCGGTCCGGTGGGAAATGAACCACAGGCGGAACCAGAAGCTCAGCGTACCAACGTCGAGACCTTCCTCGTTGTCCTGGCCCTTTGTCTGGCGCTCTTCCTGGCCGCCCTCGACATGACCATCATCACCACCGCCATCCCGACCATATCGAGCACCTTCAACTCCAGCCTGGGCTACATCTGGATCGGATCCGCCTACCTCCTCGGCAATGCCACCTTTGTGCCGACATGGGGCAAGATTTCAGACATTTTCGGCCGGAAACCCGTCCTCATTGGTGCCGTCGTCATCTTCTGGATCGGCTCGCTCCTGTGCGCCGTGAGCAACAGCATGGGCATGCTGATTGCCGCGCGAGCTATTCAGGGCATCGGTGGCGGCGGCACCATTGTGCTGCCCAACATTTGCATCTCGGACTTGTTCTCCATGCGCAAGCGTGGCATGTACTTTGGCATTCTCGGTGGTGTATGGGCCATTGCATCTGCTGTTGGCCCTGTGCTCGGCGGCGTCTTCACGAGCAAAGTGTCGTGGAGGTGGTGCTTCTACATCAACCTGCCCCTGTCGGGCGTCGGCATCCTCATCTTGATCTTCGTGCTGAAGCTGCATAACCCGAGGACACCCATGAAGCAGGGCTTGCTGGCGATTGACTGGGCCGGAAGCTTGCTGATCATCGGCGGCACTCTCATGTTCCTCTTTGGTCTGGAGTTTGGCGGTGTCCAGCACCCCTGGGACTCGCCCACCGTCATCTGCCTGATTGTCTTTGGTGTCATCACCATTGGTCTTTTCGTCGTCTACGAATCCATGATTGCCAAATACCCCATCATGCCGGTCTCGCTGTTCCGCCACCGAACCAGCATCGCCTCCTTCTCGCTCTCCTTCATGCACGCATTCACCTTCATGGGCGGGAGTTACTGGCTGCCTCTGTACTTCCAGGCCGTCATGGGCGCGACGTCTCTCCTGTCGGGCATCTATCTGCTTCCCTTTGTGCTGTCGCTCTCCATCACCTCTGCGAGCTTTGGCATCATCATCAAGCGTACGGGCAACTACAAGATCCCAATCATGTTTGGCCTCGCCGTCATGACGCTCGGTTTCGGCCTCCTCATTAGCCTGGGCGACGACCGAAACTGGGCCAAGATCGTCATCTTCCAAATCATTGCCGGCATCGGTGTCGGCCCCAACTTTCAGTCCCCCCTCATCGCCCTACAGACCAACGTTGAGCCGCGCGACATTGGGTCAGCGACCGCTAGTTTCGGCTTCCTCCGCCAGCTGGGCACCTCCATCTCGGTCGTCGCCGGTGGCGTCATCTTCAATAACCAGATGAAAGCTCAGGCTGGTACCTTGCAGCGCGAGCTTGGGCCGCAGCTGGCCAGCATGTTCAGTGGTTCTCGTGCCGCCGCCAGTGTGCACCTTGTCAGAACCTTGGAGGGCCATGATGCTGCGGTTGTGAAGAACGCTTACTGGAATTCGCTACAGAAGATGTACATTCTGTTTACTTGCACTGCGTTTGTGGGCTTTTTGATGAGTTTTGCTGTCAAGCAGAAGAGTTTGAGCAAGGACCACACCGAGCACAAGACTGGGTTGCAGTCCTTGAAGCAGAGGAATGAGGGCAGTGCTGCTGAGCCCGCAGGTAGAGAAGCCTCTTGAGAAACCAGGACAAAGAAATGGCATTTTGAGCGTTTCAACGTACGATGCGTGATTTGCTGTCATGGGCGGCGTTCGGTGTTGGGAAATGCATTGGATGCGTGAGCATTTACTTTACATTTACATATAGATATCGAAATGTGTGCGCAATATCGTTACGCAGCTTGCTCTGTCGAAAAGGGCCTATGTCCCTTGTTGATCTGAAAGTCGTGAATGCTGCATGTTCGTAAGAAAAAGTTGATGTGCGACCAAAGAGAGCCCTGCATGACACAGGACCCTGACATAATGTTTCGTCTCTATTGCACATTTGCATCTGGCGGTTACAGAGTACCGACACTGTGAAGTTTAGATGTCATAACCTACCAAAAGTGGAAGGACTTGTTGGGTAGTAAAGGTTGCCATCTCTCTTGCACCCATTGCAGTAGAAGCTACCTAGCATTGAAGCTTCTTTTCACTCAAATTAACATGTCATGTTGCAGGGGAAGTTGGCATATGTCACTTCCAACTTCAATAATTGGAAATGCAATGGCACTAAACTGCCGTCAGCAGCTTTTTCTTTTTCTTATTTTATTTAACAAAAAAGAAAAAAAGAACAAAAAAAAACGTCTAGTCGGCTGTATTGGTCGAACCGTTGCGCCATTTCAGTCAGACTAGACGAGTTAGACGACGTAGGCGAGCTAGACGAGACAAGGCCACCGTAATGGTGGTGGTTGTCAGGGCAACAGCTGGTGTTGATGCAGAGCTCCTTCCTTGGTGCGGAGCTACGTTATTTACTTCGTGCTCTGCCTGGGAACGTCGGCATGGGCACCCCTCCCGCGCAAGGATTGTGCACGACTCCATTCCACACCGATTTTTGCCATCTTTGGGTTTGTGAGTAACTCTACGCCTAGTGGTGATGGTTTTGTCCGTCATTGCATTTAATATCGAGTATATATTTTTATTTCCGCACCTGCCACACGCCCTCCCGGTCTTCACTGCAACAACCGCGTCGTCATCGCGGGTATCGTGGCCAAGCTGGCTTCTCGACGAACGACGCGCTCCGACCGGGAGCTAAACCGGTCAACAATGGGCACCAGCCTTCGCAGTGCCGCTGCAAGCCGGAATGGTGTCCCAAGACAGCTTGCTGGGAGGTCATCGTCATTGAGGCAGCCGTCGTCCTTGAGCGCGGCCAGGGGAATCCCCGACCGCGCTGGCGCAGCATCCCCAGCAGATTCTGTGTCGACCACCGCAACAGGCATGAAGCGCAAGGAGCGCGACTTCGAGTCTGATGCTGGCGGTGGCGGTGGCGAAGAGACAAATATCAATGTTGTTGTGAGGTGTAGAGGACGGAGTGAACGCGAAGTCAAAGAGAACAGTACCGTGGTGGTGCAGGCGGACGGCGTCAAAGGAAACGCAGTCGGGTTACTGCTGGGCCCGAATTCTCTGAGCAACAAGTCATATGCTTTCGATCGTGTCTATTCGGCCGCGGCAGATCAGGTCATGGTATTTGACGATACGGTCAGACCGATATTGGACGAGGTGTGTGGCTGAACCTGAACACGAATTGACTGCTTCTTGTTAACCAAAATTTGCAGATGCTTGCTGGATACAACTGCACAATATTTGCGTACGGCCAGACCGGCACGGGGAAAACATACACCATGTCAGGGGACATGACCGAGACGCTAGGCATACTCTCGGATCAGGCGGGCATCATTCCTCGTGTGTTGCATGAGTTATTTAATAAGCTCAAGATTGACGATAGGGAGCACTGCGTGAAATGTTCCTTTATCGAACTCTATAACGAAGAACTCCGCGATCTTTTATCTATTGACGAAAGCGCAAAGCTAAAAATTTACGACGACGCGTCAAGAAAAGGGCATGCCTCTACGATCGTTCAAGGCATGGAGGAGAAGCACATCAAGAATGCTTCTGAAGGTATTAAGGTGCTTCAAGATGGCAGCTTGAAACGACAGGTAGCAGCCACCAAATGCAACGATCTCAGCTCTCGAAGTCACACTGTCTTTACTATCACCGCCTATGTTAAGAAGACAAATAACCAAGGTGTAGATGACTTCGTTAGTGCAGGGAAACTCAATCTAGTCGACTTGGCTGGAAGCGAAAATATTCAGCGATCTGGAGCGGAGAATAAGCGAGCTGCTGAGGCTGGTCTTATCAATAAATCGCTGCTAACTCTTGGCCGTGTTATTAACGCGCTGGTGGACCGAAATTCGCATATTCCCTACAGAGAATCTAAATTAACGCGCTTGCTGCAAGACTCACTGGGCGGGCGAACCAAAACTTGCATCATTGCCACCATATCTCCAGCTAAGGCGAACCTTGAGGAGACGATTTCCACTCTTGATTATGCATTTCGCGCCAAGAACATCAAGAATAAGCCTCAAGTGAACCCGATGCTTAACAAAAAGATGCTCTTAAACGACTTTGCTAATGAAATCGAGAAACTAAAGAGTGAGCTGATCTCAACGAGACAGCGTAATGGGGTGTATTTATCGAACGATGCGTACGAAGATTTGACTGCTCAAAATGAATCTCGCCGCATTGTGCTGGAGGAGCAGAGTGCAAAGATTGAGACCCTGGAGACCAACTTGAGGAACAAGGTCCACGAGCTGTTTTCTATAGCCACGTCTCTTATGGGATTACGAAAGGATCACGATGGAATTAAAGCCCAGCTGGACAACACAAAGGGGGTGCTTGATCAGACGGAAATAGTGCTGTCCGCGACTCGTAGAACACTTGCAGAGGAGACACAGTTACGAAAGGCACACGAGAAGACGGAGGAGAAGCTTACAGAAATCGGGGGACAACTCATTAACAAGCTTCACAAAACGGTGAATGACGTTACTGGTCTCAGAGCAAAAAACAAACGGAAGTCAGACCTACAATCACTAAATCGAGCAGCTTGGAGCACATCACAAGCGCAAGTCGCGGACGTCACATCCATGGTTGAACGCCGAGTTCTTGAATTCCAAGAGGAACAACAAGAGCATATTTCTAGTGTCTCAAAACGAATGACCGTATTCGTGGATGAAGAGCTGCGAAAGCTTTCAACCACGCAGACATTGCTGGATGAGCATCTGAACCTGTTTACTGATTCGAAGAAGCTGCTACTGGAGAAGAAGCAAAGGTCAAAGGAGGACATGGACGAAGTTTTGGATGAGATCAAGGTGGTTCGAGATACAGTTAAAGAGAAGGTTGGGGAAAGGCTTCAGGTCATGTCACAGGCTGCGGAGAAACTATCAGGAGACGTTTTGCAAGAAATGACAAATTTTCACACTCAAGTAAGTCGCTTTTTGAAGGAGTTTTATCGGAGTTCACTTTACTCACCAGCATTTGCAGCTTCAAAACTCTTACAGTTCGCTTGGAAAGGACTTCAAATCCATCTTTGAAGATCTCGTCAAACATATTACAGCACAGCGTAGTGAGGCCGACAGCTTACGGCGGCAACTGCAAAGTGCCATGAATACAATTGCTTTGCAAAATACCGGCCTCTCTAGGCGAGTCCAGGAAGCGCTAGAAGAAGAGCGACGACAAACTGCCGAGGACCGCCAGAAGTTGATGACCCAGATTACCAGCTTGATCAATTCTCAAGCCGACGCACAAGAGGCTCGCCTCGCAGATAGGGCAACTCTTATTCAGAAAAGTGTTAGCGAATCTAATGCTTCTATGGAAGCTGCGATGGTGCAATACAGCCAAGGAATGGAGAGCTGGGATGGCAAGGAAAATGAGTTGATGGAAGAGGTCAAGAAGTCTCGCGAGCAGTTAAAGACCAAGTTGAAGGACGACTGGACTTTAGCGAGCGACCAAAGCACATCAATCCAAAACATGACCAAGTCTATTCATGCTGAGACAGCGCGAGTTGCGGAAGACCAAACGGACGACTTGGATTCACAAATGGAGGCACTGGACGACTTTGTCAGCCGGGCCAAGACGGAAAGTGCTAGCCATCACGAATCTCATGGCCAGTCTTTACGGGCGCTGTCTAATACGGTGGAACAGTCGTTTGGTAACATCTCGGCGCACTTCAAGGCAACGTTTGAAAGAGTCAAGAATCTTGGTGAAGGCATGGAGCTGGACACGAATGATTTGCGTGACGGCCTCGAACCGCTAGAGTCGCAAGTTTGCCAGCCGCTAGTCAACCTGCGCGAGGGCATCACATCTACCACCCTGCAGGAGTACCAACCCACGGGTGACACGCCTCAGAAATCGACGTACCTCTTCCCGACGAAGCTTCCTCGCACGGAACCTCATGATGTCATCATTTCCAAGATTGACGAGGAGCAATCTTCACTCACGGGCGACGAGGTCAACGATAAAGACGACACTTCCATCATGTTTCCAGACATTGGGCACAAAAGCTCCCCCATCACGGCAACGAGACAGTCCAACGCCGGCTTGTCGGACAAGAACATGAGTTTGCGCGAGGTCAATCCTAATGTGACGGCCAATCTAACCGCCGGTACACTCGCGTTTGATCCGAGAGCAAGCACAATGAGCATGCCTCCTGAACACACGATGCCCAGCTTTAAGAAACCACTGAAGGGAGTAAGAAGTGTTAGAAACCAGCCCGTGCTGGCGGAAGGCAGGGAGAATATCTTGGTTGGGTTTGAGCAGAGTCTGTCTAGGAGGAAGAGTCCGAGGCTAAATTAGGAATGACGCGCACTGATGACGCAAATTTCTGGCAAGGTGGTTTGTTTTGGGAGTTTGGGTAGACTGTGCTGGTTTGGCGGTTCATTCATTTATTTACTTCATTTCTGGCGTGGCTTGGACAACTGGGTTATTGAGCATTTAGATACCCGTTTCTTTACATGGTGGGCATGAAATTGATTCCGATTTCTTGAGTACGACATTGGTGCTGAAGGCGGTGCATGTCTGGTCAACTTGTGAAGTTGTTTCCACCTAAAAAAGTCACGATAATGCCATTATTCTTAACGCTAGTAGCCACTGTGATTACCTTTGCTTTTAGCCATTGGAGGCTAGCTGAGCACAATACGTGTGTGTCATCGACCGCTTGCGACGACTCCGTTGCTGCGCCGCAGTTCTCTGGGACTATACTATCCGGAGACGTCTCGAGACGCATCTACATCATGGGAATGTACACCACATGAACATGCCAGGGACACAACACTCAGTAGCTTGTAGTATTTTATATCGACGCGAGACCTAACCCAGCCTGTCATCATCCAATCGCTCACAAGCCCTCCCAATCCCCATGAACCAAAACGCCTCGAAGGAAAAGAATAAATATATAGAAAGCCAGAGTAAAACAGAACGCTCATGTTAACCATGTTTGTAAGTTTGACAAAGAGCAGGCCGTTTAGGGGTTCTCGTTTCGACATGTAAAGATTGCCTCTTTCCACCGTTCCCCAACTCGACGAGGGGAAAAAAAAAAAGCCCAAAAAAGTGCTCCCAAGTCTCTCCATCCCTAGCTCTCTGTGGATGCAAAATCGTGAGGATGCGCCTAATCGAAAACAATACGAGGAACCATGTTAAGAATTTCGCCTGCCCTCCCAAGAGAATTTCCGTTCCTTAACGCCATGCAAAAACTGAATAGAAAGATTTTTCCTTTTTTGGGAATTTGGATCGTTTATTTTCCAAGATTGAGAGGTGGTTAGTTATGAGTTCTGAGCTCCTGATTGCTGTTTGAGTGAGAATATAGTTTGAGGGTTATAAAAAGGGATGCCCGTGTCCCGAGCGGTTTCTCGTCTCTCTTGGTTGAGAGCTTCGAGGCAGAACAAATGAGGATCAAGGGCGTGATGTTAAGAATCTCGTATAGCTTATGAATGTGTAGACATGTCCGGTAGCCTGTACCAATACGGGTGGGTAACGATGATTGATATTCACGGCGAAAACGTATGATTTGTGAGAGAAAACTGAAAGTCGGCCTTTGCGACAATCATGCCCAGGTCCCAATCTGGAGTCATTGGCTCGGCCGTTCTGCTCACGGCTCTCTCCTATCGTCTGCCGATCTTGAGCAGACGAGTCCGAAGCCACAGCATGAAGGCGGTCCAGACGCCCATGGTCTTGTGCTTGGCGGTCTTGGTTCTCTTTGGCGACTTGAAATGAACCTCGTCGGCCCTAGAGGGAGCCGTCTGCCCACCGTGCGTGCTGTTGTAGCCAAAGGAGGAAAACTCTACCTTCTCGCGGCTGTCTTCCAGCATTGCGCCGCGCTTTCCTGAGGAGGAGATTCGGAGGTCGGTGCCGCTAGACATGGTGCTGCTCGAGACGCTGCCGTGGCCCGCGCTGCCTTTGCGAAGCCGAGGATGCGACTTTTCAAGCTTGTGTGCCTCCTTGGTTTCGGCACGTTCTCGTTTACGAAGCTGCTCCTTGGCATACTTTTCGTCCTTGGCGCGCTCCTTGGCCTCGAACTTGCGGCGGGCTTCGCGGACATGCTCCTGGTGAGTGAAGGTGTCCACCTCGCTCCTGGAGCGCAGGCGGAACACGCCCATGTCCAGCGAGCTGCGCAGCGGCGACAGGGGCGCAGCCGAGGTTGAAGTTGCACTGGCCTGGGTCTGTACGGAAGAGAGCATCGTGCCAGCAGTCCCTAAAGGAGCGGTTGATGAGAGAGGGGAGTCGACATCCAGGGAAGACAAAGCGCTGGAATCCAGTTCCGACTTGCTCTGATTCAGAGACGGGGGCGCCAGCGGGCGAGTCGTGCCCGAGTTGGATCGAGTAGCAGGTATCCGCGTTGTCTGGGTCCCATCCGAGAGCGAGCTGGTACGCTGACTGGCCATGGAAGGGCGGCGATGGTTAGGGTGCTGGTAAAAGGCAGACTGGTACAGTGCCGGGCGAGGAGCGGTGGAAGCAGAGTGGAAGGACGAGTACGGATCGACGTCGGCGTCGTCCTCGGTGATGGTGGGAGAGTAGCCGGTTGGCACGCCGTTCTCGAAGGAGGTCCTCGAGTTGGCGTACGACAGTGGAGGAGTCGAGGCATGCGGCTGTTGCTGGAAGGGGTGGACAAAGGTCCCGCCATTACGGCCGCTGGTGGTAGTTGTA